AGGTGCAATGGATGGTTTCCGTGAATAGATAAAGTTCGTTCTGAGAGAAAAACTAGCGAAGCCACGTCTGCGGGGATGTTCACCCTGGAAGCGACTTTGCTGAATCCGAGCTCGCTGATTTAAGTGCTCGTTGAATCCGGGTTATTTTTATTGATTTTAAAGAAGAAAAAAATCGGGGAATCTGTCTCATCTCGTTGAATCCGAGTTCTCGTTGAATCCGAGCTCATTGAATCCGAGTTCCACTGTAAAATGATAACAATGCATGCGGACTAAAGAAATAATGTTCACAGAATGACTGACCAATAACTTCATCAGCATTTCATTGTAAGCTACGTGGCTGATATTTTTGTCAAGGATACAGTAACATTCTTCTTCACATGTTTGGCTCCCATAGCCTCAATGGCACCACAAGTCCCAGCAAAAGGCCATCGTCCACCTTCCTCTTCATTAGAGCCCACAGTCACTTCACAGCCAGAGATTACTTTGGCAGCAAGGACAGGAGCAATACAGCAAAGCCTGTAGAGGAAATAATAAATTGGCATAAAAACGTATCCTCACACTTTCATCTAACCTTTAAATATAATACAAACTCACCACTATAAGATACATCAAAACTTTTCTGATAGGTCTCACAAGCAAAATTTATTTCAAAGGGGGAAGGGCTTGCAAATTGTGACAGAGAACAACAAAGCCTTGCACAAACTAAAAAAAGCAACAACAAAAAACATCAATTCGTGCAAAACGCGTAAACAAATTCCAGCACAAATCTTAGCATAAAATACTCTAACCGAACAAGCTAAAAGTAAATGCTAATTGAAAGCAAAAAAAAAAGCAAATTATATTCTGAAATTGAAAAAAATAAGAAGTGGAAATTTGTCAAAAGTAAAGAATTCCATTCATGTTGTAAAAGTTAAGGTTTCAAATTACATGTATCAATTACATTATTAATATATTCTTATTTTCACTTAAATGGTTATTTCTTAATGCTGAACCATGAATAAATGTCTTCCTCTTGCAACTTCTACAACATCAGCCAAACCATTAACACATAACACTCACATAGCAAACATACACACAGCAAAAAACGCAGATAGAAAATAGATTTTCAGTGTACACATTTTTTTAATATACTATAGAGATAGACCTATTCTTTGTATTCAAAGCATTCACTTGGATCTTGGATAAAAAAATAAATGTCTACATCCCAAATCTGCAATATGTCGAGAAAGCAACTTTGACCCCAATACGCATGGTGGCATGGCATACGGGACATAATTCATTTGTTAAAATTTTTATCAAATAGATCAACTTTGTGTATCTCCCTTGATATAGCCCAGAATTTGTTAAAAACGAAAAGAATTCCACATTTCTCCAATTTTCATATATGCACACTAGGCTAGTACAATCCGTGCTGGCTATATAAGCACGTCGGCTTAAAGCACATTTCGGACTTCAGCACGCTAAACGGCTCTTACCGAATTTTAGCTATAAATTACACGCCTTTAAGCACGGTAACTTCGGCTTTAGGCACGCTTCATTACAACAAGACAGTCAATACTTTCACGATGACCCATCGAAGTTCGAACACAGTCTACACTGCAGCAGTGGAGTGTGTTAAGAGAAACACAGAGAACGCAAGTGATGCCAGTGATGGAGACACACACTCACACGGGCGGAGAGGAAGGCAGAGAGATGCACACAGCCGCGTGCGTGGACATAGGATCTAGCCTAGGGCAAAGTTACACACAGACTTAAAAATACAGAGTCGGGGAGACGAGAAAGGGCGGCTGGCTGCGATTTCACCTTTGACCTTCGCTATCCATTAATCCTGATTGTGTATCATGCGCGAGGTGGGATGAAGGCGGTGGTATGAATGTGGCGCAGCGTGTAGGCCTACTGTGCTGTATCGTGACTGGCCCTCTAAATTGAGTTTTCATTTCCCATTCGACCACAAAACAAAAACAAACAAGCGAACAAAAACTACCATGGTGGGTAAAAATACCAGTGCACACTTTTGCGGGACCGCTATAGGCCTACTTACAAACAAAGGGAAATATCACGAGAAATTTTCTACCTGAAAATCTCTGGATTATGTCTACTTCGCACTCAAACACGCTTCGGATTTAAGCACGCACATGCTTTCTCCCGATGACCATGCTTAAAGCCGGCATGGACTGTAACAAAGTTAGCAGTAGATAGAGAAATACATTTTACTTCCATCACAGACCAAAAATATTTTTAAAGCCCTTAAATTACTATTGGATACAATTCCACACAGAAATGCAAGTGTTTCCGTGAAGACCAAGGTCAGGCAGAAAAGATCACTTGAAAAATGAAACATTCTGGCACTGGTACAAAGAGCTCACTGACAGAACTTCATACAACATAGCATGGTATTTGGCAGCTCTAAACTTAACACTGAACATGATGTCTTACCATGATAACAAAGGGAGGGTCAAGTTTGAATCACTGTAGAGCTTTTTCCAACACACCAGAAACATCGCAAGACACAAAAGATAATTTTGAAAAAGAACCCCCCACCACACACACACACATATAATATATATAGGCCTAAACACACACACCCTCAACCCATCCTTTCCCATTATCAAAGTACCAAGTTTAGACAAATATTTTTAGAGGGAGGTGTAAAAAATTCTTTGTTCTCAAAGCGAATCAAAGTAAGCAGACATCAAACCTGAACGTACCACACATGAATTAAGATAAAACAGCATGTCACAGTCACCAGAGCACCTACAACGCACCTACAACACACCAGACGAGTCTTGTATCCTGCAACTCAAGTTCTGCCCCCGCCCCCAACTTCCCATTCCAGTTTCTGACATACCGCTGAAAAGAACAAAATCATAGCTCTTTCCACAGCTAAGTGAGTACATTGAGAAAGGTAGAACACCAAAATCATTTATATTTGATCCAAAGACAAGTGAAATTGTGACACTCTTTTTCCATCTCAGACTTAAGAAGCAAAACTCGCACACAAAGCTGACTGATATTGTACTAGGTATATACCAGTCCTGTGGGATAAAATTTATTATCATTACCCAATTGGCTTTTGTGCTGAATGAAATTCCTTCAAAACTCTTTCGACATCAGGCTCCACCTTCATGTCTGTCCCATCAACAGCAAAAGACGACCTGCAAAGGAATACATTAAATTAAACAGAGGACACAATTAGTCAAAGCGCAATAGGCAACAAAAGTTTGCTATAATATAAAGGAAACAATCTGAAGAGCATTCACTTTAAGGATCTACTGAGTCAATATTTGTAAGCTTAGTGGCTCAGCAAATTTCTAAACTCATTCGATACTCCGAGCTGTGGGGGGGCGGCGCAGCTAAAGTGCCGTCAGTAAGTTAAGCCGCCCCCGGCGGCTC